TTATTATTTTAATTAAAGACTTAAAGTTATAAGAATAGGCAGAGCGAATGACTAGAGATCTAATGTTATATAATAAGAAGAGTTTTGATATGACATAGAAAGAAAAATGATGACATATTAATAAGAATATGTGAGGTATGATTAACTTAACATTGTTAAATAGAGATGAAATAGAAAATCAAGTTTTTTTTCACATATGCTACAGTTATAAGTAACATAGATATAGATATATGTTTTAAATGTTTAAATGCCACCCATTATTTTTTAATGCTTAAATAAGAACTCGGGTCGAACCAATTTTTAGTAATTTGGTCCGTGTTCAGGTTGACCCTTGTGAACCCCAAGTCCAGCCCGCATTCAATTTGGGTTAATAATATTTGGCCAAATCTCAACTCATGTTCTAGAAAACTCAACCCAAACACTTATTTTTTCGAATTGGGTTCGGGTTTGCCCACCTAAGTTACACTTGTAGTCTAATGGTAAGATATCTGAAAAATATTTGTCAAAAAGAAAAACACAAACACACTCAGAGGAATGTCACAGAGCATAAAGATACTTTTGGTTAAGTGTTTACTTGTTCCAACTTTTCCAAGTATGATTCGTCGTATCGCCAACGATTAGGAGTGCACCGAGGCGTTATGGTCGCAATGTAGTGAACTAATTATAGGTGATACATACAAAATATTAGATAAAAGAAGAAGTTGAACACGACCAGAAATTCAGACAGATATTATGGCGTTCCTAAAACAGTATTTACCAATTTGGTAGCTGTGGCTTGAAAACTCAGGTTGACTCGAAGACGATTGTGGTGAGTTGGGTAAGACACATTAGGATAAGATTTCACGACTTAGGAGTTCACGATTTAAGTTATTGTCTTGCAAGAGAATCCTAGTTCACCCAATGTGTGCGGTTTGCGAGTGTTAACAGACGTCCCGAAGAAGAAGTTGAACACGACCAGAAATTCAGACAGATATTATGGCGTTCCTAAAACAGTATTTACCAATTTGGTAGCTGTGGCTTGAAAACTCAGGTTGACTCGAAGACGATTGTGGTGAGTTGGGTAAGACACATTAGGATAAGATTTCACGACTTAGGAGTTCACGATTTAAGTTATTGTCTTGCAAGAGAATCCTAGTTCACCCAATGTGTGCGGTTTGCGAGTGTTAACGGACGTCCCGAGAAGATCAATCTGACATAGAAGAATTAAGACATAGAAGATTCATGAAAAGAGTACATTAGGACATTTATGTGAGAACTATACATAGATGGGAGTTTCACATTGAAATAGAAATTCACATTGCCCGATGAGCAAAATCTCACACGACTTAACAAGAAATCAACACATGAAACCTAAGGAAAAAAAATCGACAATGCATCAAATTTGAAATACAAAAATAATACTCAGTTTAGTCCCTTAACGGAGGTCTACAACGAATATATTGGACATAAACATAACATCTGAATTTACATATACAAAGTGACTGTCTTAGTAATATAATGTCAAGCATTATGTCTGTATTTCAAGTAATCAAAGCTGGATTATGTATGTATTTCAAATAAAATGGAATGACATGTAATTCAACAGTTATTACTCGGGATAAAAGGTAACAAATTAATGTCAACAATACTATCATCGATCATGAATTATTTAATGCATCATGTATTATAACAATCACTAAATTATAAATTCTACCCTTAAAAGTGATCAATTTTATCCAAAAAATAATAAATAAACGAAAAAAATAAGTGCACCCTAAAGTTATTTAATTCACTCAAAAGATGAAAATCATAAAATAACTGCTTAAAAAAAAGGAGTAAGTAGTGTGCTACAAAACTATTCTTTTTTTTTTGGCTACTAGAGGAATTTATACTCTTGTTTAATTTCAAAACGATAAGGACGTAAATAAGGAAATTCCAACTTCCAAGCCCATGCAGTCTGTAGTCTTCTGGCCGATGCATTGAATATTTACTCGGACCGAGTAAATATTCAATGCAAAGATAATATCATATCAATATTGTTATATGATATATATCAATAATCAATAAAAGAATACTAAATAGGCAAGATGAACTCAATTTGAATAATTATTGACTTAACATGGATGAGTATTTATTGATTTGTGTGAGATTCATTTTTTATTCATTTTAGATTTATTGTGATATCACGTGACAATCTTGACGTATGAGATCACCGTTACATTGAATATTTTATGGGTCTTTCGAGCCTGAGGTGAAGATAAAGTAACTAAATGGAAAACAAATTTATTACTTGTTCCTATGTTTACAAATTAATTAAATTAAAATTTATGCCTATCCATTAATTTTAATATGGTAGCCAGGGTGTAGGTTTATATTCATTATAGATTCTTCTATATAACATTTAAATTATCAAACATCAAGAGGCATGAAGTGTAATTTTTGAAAAAAATAATGACATGATTGATTATTAGATACCACCAGGAGTGTCAATATAATTTTTTGTTGAAAATACTCTATTTGGGGAGCTAAAATGAGTTAACTAGGATTTCTAATTTCAACAAAGATGTCATGAGATTTAGATTTTTTGTCCAATACAAATTTTCACTAAATTTAAAATATTATTCTTATCGAGTCAAAAATCTACACTGGATTTGCACATAAAATAATAGTGGTCAACTCGTGCGATTCACAAAATTTATGACACTCAAATTCCTCCACATAAAAATTATAGGGACTTATTGGGTGATATAAATAATTTTTAAGAAAAAATAAATAGAGTGGTAGTTAATTAGTGGGTGGACGCATTTGATTCACTAAATAAATTGACCAACATGAATTCTGCTAAATATGTCTCAAATTTCATAGATGCAACGAGAACTTGCTAAGTATTGCTCATATAGTTAATGGGTGTGACACTATATGAATTATACGGATCAAGATTTTTTCTAATATATTTTCTATTCAATTTTTTTAACAAACTATTCATTGAGTAATAAATTTACTTGTATATAAAGTATTTCACTTGAAATAATAAATAATCCATTAAAAAGGAAATTGAAGTGAAAATATATTAAAGAGTTACTCTACATTCTACAAAATTTGACACAACACAATTGAAGTGATTTTTTTTTTGGGGGTACCATATTATTATTTATCACTTTTATGGATAATTTTATTATTTTTGTTGGTACTTTTTGTCAATATTATAGTAAATATTTTTACCAATTTTTTGGTATTTGTGATTGATCCTAAAAATGTTAGGATTGACCATATATATCACAAAAGTGGTAATTTATTTATAAAAATTATAATTTTTTTATTATAAAACAAAATCAAAAAAAATTTATTAAAGAAACAAAATTCTGAAGTATAATATCGAATTTTTTTTATATACCGTGGTCTCAGTAAGCCAAAAATTCAACGTCTTCTAGAAGAAAATACAGAGAAACTACTTGGTAAGCAAGCCAAGAGAGAGAGAGAGAGAGAAGAATCATAAAAGTGGATGAAAGTGAATACCAACGACTTTAATTGCTTTTCGAAGAAAAAGGTCGCGGATGGGACAAGCGAGGAAAATGCTATATGTTTACTAAATTTTTTTATCAAATTTTTTATCTTAAATAATGTGATATAATTTTCGTTATTAAATATTAATAAAATGTATTCATCTAATAATAAAAAATTATACTACATTATTTAAAATAAAAATTTAATAAAAAAATTTAATAAATATAACATTACCCAATACACAATCCCGTCAAAAGCAGTTTAAAGGAACGGTCACAATCACATGGTCTTTTCTGCTTCAATGGTGGTGTAGCTGGACTCTTTTAATGAATATTTAATTAAATATGAGTATTTAGTTAAAATGTCTAGACTAAATAAAATTCTTAACTCCACCCCTATTATACCCTATTATACGATCTGCTATGCAGCTAATGTGCTCGATCGTTTTCTATAATGGACTGAAATTAAGAAAATATTATGATATTGAAATTTATTTTTTGAGTATTATATCGAAAAGTGAAAAAAAACTCAAAATATACCAAATTCTACTCTTAAAAGTGATAAATTTTATACAAAAAATGATGAGTAAACCCAAAAAAAAAAATAAGTAAACTCAAAAGATAAGTGGACCCTAAAGTTATTAAATTCACTCAAAAGATGAAAATCATAGAATAGCTACTAAAAAAAAGGTGTAAGTAGTACAATACCCAATCTCGTGTCGGCCACATCTAGTCCCGGTGCTATTGGGAATTTTTTAAGTCTAATCCTATCGGCCACATCTAGTCCCGTATCTCTCCTCTATCATGTAATGTAATACTATAAAGGATAGTTAGAGAAGACCAAAAGGTTGATAAGATCCAGGACTGCTCAACAGTATTGCTCAAAAAATTGGTGTCTTAGATCTCTGTTTTTAAACGGGCATCAAATTTTTTATGTATATCTGTTTTTAAACGGGCTTCAAAAAATTTGGGTTTTAGATCTCTGCTCAACATTGAATTGCACACAATATTTGTATGTATATATATCAACACTGAAAGCGTATTTCTTGAGTACATTTTTTAATTTTAATTTTTTTTTGTCATCAAAAGTAGAGTTTTTGATTTTTTTTTTATTTTTAAAAATAAATTTATTAATTCTGCTTTCAAATATATTTGAAAAGAGTTGTAAATTGATAATAAATTCTCCCATGACATTGTATTGCCTTTATCATGTGCCCCACCCCCACACCCTTCCCCAGGTGCCCCCACCCCAGACCACGCTTTTGATCAAACTTCATCCATTACGGAACAAAAAGTACGAATCCCCATTTTAGCTAACGTTGAATTTTTTCCCCACCCATATTTTGAAACAAAGCGCGTAGGAGATGGAGCCCACACGCTTAGAGGATTGTCGTTGATAATTCAATTGTGACACGTGTACGCTTACGATTACAAATCGCTTGTTTATAAAATGTTTACCTTAAGTTAAGATCCTTAGGGAGGATTTTTGTAGCAAGGGCAGTCGAATTCGTGTCGAAAATGAGTGACAGAGATGCCCAATATCCCTTCAAGGTTACGAACGTGGTCAATGTTATCAACAGCACGTCCCCAACGTTAACTGCTGCTGGTGGTGGTGGAGGAGGTGGTGGAGGTGGTGGTGGTGGTGGTGGAGGAGGTGGTGGAGGTGGAGGTGGTGGTGGTGGTGGTGGTGGTCGTCGTGGTGGGGGTGGTGGCAGTATATCTTGGGAGGAGTATCTTAAATCTGGAGTTGCAATTAATTGGAATCATCCTGATGTCATATATCATGCTAATCAACTTGGTATCCCAATACCAGCAGGATCATCTTCCAATGGTGGTGGTGGCGGTGGACGGTGGTGTTATAATGCATGTGGACAACTGGTATGGATACCGTAAGCTTGCCTTGCTTATTGTGATTTATATTGCCAAACGGACGAAGCCCACCTCTCTCCCTTCTTTCTCTGTCCCTTTTTTCGCTTCTTCTACTTGTTTTTTATTTTGATATCTTTATTTCTGTATTATCTTTTTTTAGGGTTCGTATGGTCTGATCGGGAGGAGATGTTGTAATTGCTATATTTATTTGTAGTGTCTTATGTAATTCTGAAGGGTTTACTTGGATTATCAATAAATTGCTATAATATGGTCTTCCTATAAAATACATATTCAGGGACGAAATTAAGATTTAATTTTAAGGGGGTCAAACAATGACACAGTGAATAATTCTACTCAACGCGTTATTCAACTTATTGTTATAAACAAATTTGTTATACATGATGCATTAAATAATTCATCATCGATGATTGTATTTGTTGACATTTATTACCTTTTATCCCTAGTAATATCTGTTGAATTATCAACGAGTCTTTAGTTCAATAATATTTTTGTCTTATGAAGATTTTATTTTCTTGAAATCAAGGGTGTTAGAATTAAAAAAAAAAAATTTAAAACCTTTTACAAAATTTTAGTTTCACCTATTTTTAAATATTGAGTTTTCAAATTATCATTTACAGTCTTGCACTCGTCTGTTATCATAAGAAACTAACAGTACAAACGTTTAGATATTTTATGGGTATTCAAAAGTAATAGGTTGTTGACTAAAGTTTCACACGGGATTTTCTTATTGCCTATATAAAGGGTATTTGGTTGTACCTGTTGCCTATCATCTTGCAGGTCAAATATATACAGCTTGTTATTTTGTCTTATAGCACAACTCTTCTTTCTTTATTCTTCAAGCAGAGATACCCATCTCAACCAACCACGACTGATATAATGTGTATTCTTAGTGTGAGTTGTAGTCGCGAGTCAAAAAAATATATTTGTACAAGCAATAGCACCTCGTCTGATACACATTCGCAACAACTATAATGCATTATAAAACAATCATGGTGATAACGGTGAGATTTTGATGTGGGCCGCCAATCCAAGGCCCAAAGCGTTTGATGGACCTCTACGTTCGTGACAACCCAAACAGCTTGTCCACAGCATACCCACCTTGCAAATGAGACGGGCCCCCCATCTCAAAAGAAGAAAGTCCAACAGTCCCTGGATTTTGGAGTATCAACTCGGCCTCCATCCAGCCCATCACATAGTATATAGTTATGATCCACCATAGACTATCTACACATGTATATGCTATGCTGTCATTCGTGTGTATATATTGATAAAATAATGCCTCAAGGTGTGCTGTTCGCTGCTGTGGTGAAGTGTGCTGCCATGAAACAAGTGTAAATCATGCAGCACACTTATGCCATGTGGTTCGGTGGTCAGGCGGTATAAATCATGCAGCACACTTATGCCATGTGGTTCGGTGGTCAGGCGGTATAGGCATGTGCTAGTTCGGTGGTCAGATGGTAGACCCATGTGCTCATAGTTGCTGACCATGATTATCTTATCTCTGTAGTGCAATATTATTATCTCTATTTTAAGTAGGAGATAATTAATGAAGACCCATATGAAAAAGGATGTCTTTTCACAGAGAGTTTCTTCTAATCCTTGGGATAGGATATGTCTTCCATTAAGATATATTTTATAGTCTTGAAATTGGCTCGGACTCTATCAAATGTACTGCTATATATTAAAGAATTTCTTAAGAGCTATGGCTATGTTTTTGGTCATAAGCTACTTTGTTTTATTAAAATTATCAACTTCTTTATGGTATCAGAGCCATAAGCTCTCAATACACATTACGAATGGTAGCATCAACAACATCCTTCTCTCCTTCAACCTCCAATCTCCACCACCTCATTGTCATAGTCTCGGTTAAACTAAACTCAACCAATTATCTTATATGGAGAATACAAATACTTCCTTTGATTCAAAGCCTTCATCTTATGAATCACCTCACCAATGATTCACCAGCACCAATGATGCTCATCGAATTGAATAAAGAAGTCTCAAATCCAGAGTATGAGGAATGGCAACATACTGATTTGTTGCTACAGTTGGATCACCGACACTCTCTCTAAAGCAGTCCTTAGTCATGTTGTTGGCCTAAATACCTCTCAAGAGGTATGGAACTACCTTGAAGAAATTTATCTACAAGCAACTAAACAAAGGAAACTCCAGCTTAAACGCCAACTTCAGACACCAAAAACAGAGACTGCATTTCTAGATGAATGTCTCATGAAGTTTAAGACTATATGTGATAGTCTTGCAGCTATTCAGAAACTAGTTTCTGATGAGGACAAGACTGTTCAATTGTCTCATTGTCTTGGAAAAAAAATATGATGTTTTCATTACAACCATGCTCTCTAAGCCTCCTTTTCCAACTTTCAGTCAATTCATCACTGCCTTACAAAACTATGTCCTACGAAATGAAGAACATAGCTCAGATGAGAAAAAAGAGGCAAATACGAATTTTGCATTTGCTGTTCAACGAAATGGTGACAGAGGTCGTGGCAACAATTTCAATCGTGGTCGTAATAATAATTTTAGCTGTAAAGGTCGTGGCTTCACTACTAATCACTCCCCATACACCACATCTCGTGGAAGTCAGAATTCAACAAATCGTTCCTCACAAAATCAGTCCGATGGGCAAAGTGGATCCATGTAGGGAAATCGAGGTAATAATTTTCAGCAAGGCACATTCCAACGACAAGGGAGGAGAAGCTCAAATGCTCAGGGCACTTCCTTCCAAAACAATGCTCCTCAATGCCAAATCTGTAGCCACAAAATGTTGGTTTAGGTATGATTATGCTTATGATGTCGATGAAAACTTACCTCAAGCCCTTGCAGCAACCACCATATCAAATTTACATAATCAAGACCCGAATTGGTATCTTGACACCGGAGCCACCTCCAATACGACGTCGGATGCAAGTAACCTTCAGTTTTCAAGACTCTATAAGGGGCATGATAATGTTATTGTTGGTGATGGCTCTCCTTTACAAATTTCTCATGTTGGTAATACCATCTTGAATACTTCACATGGCAAAATAGATCTCGACAAAGTTTTAGTTGTCCCTGAGATAAAGAAAAATTTGCTTTCAGTTAGTCAACTAACAAAGAATTACTCATGTCTTTTTGAATTTTGTTCTTCTGGTTTTAAGATAAAGGACAAAGCAACGGGAGGATACTAGCAAGAAGACATAGACAAGGGGGTCTCTATGCCTTAGATCGAGAGAAAACAGATGAAACTTTATTTGCAATCAAGAATGGAAGGGCACCTATTGATCTTTGGCATCAGTGATTGGGACATCCAAACTCCAAATTGATTCGTCTTTTAGAGACTAATAATGTTCTAAATGTTTTTAGTTGGATGAATACTGAGAAAGTTTGTAGTAGTTGTCAAATAGGTAAGAGTTGTTGGCTACCCTTTTCTTTGAATAATAAAATTGCAAATGTTTAGTTAGAAAAAATTCATTGTGATTTATGGAGACCAGCTTATGTGGCTTCGGTACAGAACTTTTGATACTATGTGATTGTTGTTGATGATTGTACACGGTAAACTTGGTTCCATCCTTTGAAACACAAATTTGACTTTTTTTCTCACCTTTCAAAAATTGGTAGAGAATCAATTTGAATGAAGGATCAAAATTTTTCAGTGTGATGGAGGGGGTGAATTTGGGCTAAAGGACTTCATACATCATTTAGACTAATGTGGCATACACAGAAGTATTTCTTGTCCTAGAACACCAGAACAAAATGGAGTGGCCGAAAGAAAACATCGTCATAAAGTAGAAACAGGATTTACCATGCTCTTCCATGCCCATTTACCAAAAAATTTATGGATTGAAGCTTTTCTTACAGTTGTATTCCCTATTAATCGGCTACCGTCTATCATCTTCCACTCTCAAAATGGAAACTTCACTTTTTAAGTTACATGGAAGAAATCCATATTATACTTTATTAAAGGTGTTTGGCTGTCGGTGTTTTCCGTATCTAAGAGATTATGCCAAGAATAAATTTGAGCCAAAGTCCTACCCGTGTTTTCATTGGATACAACCCTACTCACAAGGGATACTGTTGTCTTCATCCTCCCTCCAAATGTGTATTTCTCTCTCGGCATGTGGTGTTTGATGAAACTATTCTGCCCTTTACTGACTCTACACTGCTTCTCTCTACGTCATAGGGTAATGGACATGTTTCCACGTATTCAGATTTTGCAGAGTGGTTCTCCTCATCCACTACCCAGCAACCCACTGCCCATTCTGTTGGACAGCCCAATTCACAGCAGCAGCACATGCCCCACTCAATTGTTGTCCCATGAGAATAACAACACATTGGTACCTACCATCCAATCTGTTGTAGAAGCCGATCCCTTACCAGCTGAAAATTTAACTCCAGTTATTACCATGACAAATGACACACAGTCACTTCGAAATATTTCAAACATGGATTCTTCAAACATCGAGTCCTCAATGCATCAACATTTCGGCCTCTTTATGATTCAAGCACTATCCAATCACAGTATATGATACTAGGACAACTTTATGTGGAACTCCCTCTTACTGCCCCAGATTCTTCAACAGTTACTGCCATGTCACATGACACACCATCAATTTGGAATATCTCAAACATGGATTCTTCGAATACTGTGAAGCCCCAAAATCTCCCTTGGATGACATTACTATTTAAAAATCATTCACATCATCAGAGCAACTAATAAACTTCATAACAAAAGAGAATTTCATTCATCATCCATAATATCTACAACATTACCCAAAAGAAAATGCCCAAATATGGCAATAACATCCCAAAAGAATCAACCTTAATCTTGCAGCGGAACAACAAATTATTAGACTTCACATGATCTCAAAATAAATTTTCTAGTCTAGAACATGAGAGAATATAGCCCTAGACATCCATCTCGGGGTCAACGTTCCTCTCTATTGGAGCTTCCCAATGTGCCGGCTCTTTAACTCCGAGTTCCTCCTCTAGACCATCATCTGAAAAGGATGCTGTTTGTAGAGTGTGAGCATTAAGCTCTGTAGGAAAATCCTCCCAAACTTGAACAAGATTTTGGAAAACAGATAAAACAAATCATTCTCATTTCACAAATATCATATATCAATTTTTGAAAGAAAATTGTGACATTTCAATGAATCTCAAGTTTATACAAGAACAATAATTAAATAAAAGAGTAAGACCAATTCCACCGTAAATAACAATTCCAACGAGTACCATTTCCACAAATAACAAGCAAATCCAACCATTTGCACAAAATACCATAGCCCACAACATATCATCAACCACAGTATGTAACTGTATCTCAAGTATGATGTGTGGCATCGCATAAATAAACACACTGAGAATATCCTGACCCACACACACACACCCAATCCTCGTAAGGATATCCAACTTTTAGGAAGGGCGTATACCAACACATTAGCAGTGACGAATCTAACCCAAGAATAATATACTAACCCTCATCTTCGGTACCCTGAGCGATTAGTGGTTTGGTCCTCACAAGGCACCAACCCCACTACGAGTGGTAGGCAAAATTCAAACCCGCATGGAGTAAAAAACGCATCTACCCACTCTATGATACCCGGTTAACGACTACCCATTGTCATCCAAATATCCACAAGAGATACAATCCCCAACCAATTTCTCAACTTCTCAAGTAAAATTCAAAATTTCCAAATTTTACATGTAGTATTACAATAGAACAATTTAAGAAAATATGCAAGAGATCCTCAACAATACCATTTTATTGTTAAATACAAAGCACTAAAGTTTTGAAATCAAGGACAAAGGAAAAATCAAGGAAAAATCTAATTCTCTTGAAAACTAGGGTTCTAAGACAAAGAAAAAGATATTTGATAGTTATTCCACCATAACTTCCTTCAAAACATGGTAATGTTCACAAAAATATCAAGAAATAATGATGTCATAGCATATATATATGATTGAGAGTGAAAACATACATATACATATATCCTCTAGCCTCAATGGACAAGAATAGAAAAAAACTCCTACCTTGAACCAAAAGTTCCAAGCAAAACCCAAACTTTAGTGACTTCATTCCTCCCTTTTCTTTCTTCCCTTATCTTCCCCTAGGGTTCTAAGAGGTTTGGGTGAGAGTGGAGTGAAAGAATAAAAGAAACTAGGATGAAAATGGTGTTTTAAACCAGCAAAATCCCGAATTTTACTATTCACAAGGCCAAAAATTAAAATTTTTTTTCGAAATTATGATTTTGCCATT